GGACGATGGGCAGGAACCGGGCTCTAACCCGTCCTCTTTGCCACGCGCTGTGTCTGAGGTGGACGCCAGGCTCGTTCTGGACTCCGAGTCCTCTGCTCTGGATTTCGACTTGCACCCGCCTCCTCTTCCTTCTCAACCCAGACCTCCTTCAGTAGAGTCACTTTCAGAGTCGCTCTTTTCTTCGGGCCATCTCAATACTCTCCTTCGCGATCCTCAGTACCTGGCCCGCTTCACTTCCTTTCTGACAATGTATCGACCGCAGTATCATCCTGTTCTTCTGCGATATCTCGAAACACAAAAGGCCATCAAGGCCATTGAGTACGCAAATGCTATTGCTGAAGGAATCCCCTCCTCTTCAGACGATGGTGGCCCCTCAAATCCAAAGGTTTCTATCGCCGCAACTCTCGACAGGGCTTTTGAGGAGTTGAGTAGTGCCGCCTTCCGCCTTATGGTCGACTCCGCCCTTCCCATGTATATCACGTACAACCTAGTGAAATTGGTGACCGAATATCTCATTGACGAGATCACGGGCAAACAGACTTTTACCAAAGATTTGGCACGAGGCTTGTCCGAAGTATTCTGCCTTACAGATCCGAAACAGCAAGATAATCCGATCATTTTTGCCAGCCAGGAGTTTTACCGACAGACAGGATATGGTCCCGACTACGTCATAGGGCAAAACTGTCGCTTTCTGCAAGGCCCCAAAACGAACAGCGAGTCTGTAGCGAGACTGAGACAAAGCATTCAAAGAGGCGAAGATATATGCGAGACTTTGTTGAACTACCGGAGGGACGGTAGACCGTTTATAAATCTACTGATGATTGCACCTCTTCATGACGATAAAGGCAATGTCAAATATCACATTGGCGCCCAGGTTGACGTGACAGGAATGGTCGAACATGGGAAGAGACTCGGCGGATTGAAACGGTACCTTAGCGGCCGGGAGATAGAGAAACATGAAAGAGAAGCCCACGGCAATGGAATTGGAGGGGACAATCAAGGACACCAAAAACCCAAGGCACTGGGAAAATTGCGGGAGCTTAGTGAGATGTTTGACCTAGAGGAATCCGCCGTTGTGCGTTCGCACGAGAGGTCTGCTTCAGCATCAAGGGAAGATGACGCACACAGTGTTGCAAGCGTCCGCAAGGTCACTCGACGTATTCTTGGCGATACCGACGCGAATTCAGGAAACGCCGACGAAGAATTCGCTGAAGACGATGACCAGATCTGGGAACTTGGTCAGTCAGGGCGATCTGGCCTGTCAGGACAACTGCCGGGCGTCTACGACAGCTACATGCTGATCAGGCCAGCGCCTTCTCTCCGAATCATCTTTGTATCCTCTGTCTTACGGCGACGCGTGGGCAACATCATCCAGCACCCATTCCTATCACACGTTGCTGCTTCCACAAATACTCTGAAAGGGCTCAAGGAGAGCTTCTTCGCCGGTGTTCCCTTCTCGGCAAAGATCAACTTGCTGCTCGAAGCTGGCGATCGACAGGATGGGACAGTAACTCGCGTGGGGAACAAACTCCAAAACGCAGGGCAGGGCAGAGTCTGCTGGGTCTCTGCAACACCAATGCTTGGAAGTGACGATAGGATCGGTGTCTGGATGGCCGTGATTGTCGAGAATACCAAAGTTCCAACAGAGACCAAACCTGGGACTTTGTTGAGTGCAGTCGAGGATCAGGCTTATGCGAAGCAGCCGAGGTCTAGCGACCCGAGACAGGTCGACATTCCTACAAAGACCAGACCCCAGCAACAGACTCTGTCAGAATTAGGTGATTCATCGAAGCGTGAATTCAAACTCGAAGACCCTCCAATCAAGCCAAAAAGGCTTGAGGACACGGCCGACCAAGCCCGCAGCTCTCAATTGTCTCCGCTACCCGCAGAGGAGGGAACTACGGACTTCCAAGAAGGGGTGTTAGGAGAGCAAGGCCATGAGCTAGTTTCACCTGAGGACAAACCACTTGTCGAACAGGAAGAAGAAAAGACCGTCCTAAACCACACAAGCACCGACCCGCTGGTACTGCTTGGCAATGACAAGGATGGGTTTGTACAGACAAATGGGAGAATCTCCGACTCGCCGAGCCCACAACACGCCCACGATGAACTAGATGGACATGGAGAATCCAACACGCCGAAATTATCGGCTGTCAATGATGCTCTTGAGCGCGCTATGTCAGGGACAAATACTGTCAAGACCTGGGTAACGCCCATATCACCAGACGACAAGGGTTTCGCGAACGGTTTGAATGGATTTCATAGCTTCTCTGACGAAGAGAAAACGCCCGTCAACTCACGGAAGGGCGGGTTCGCAGATTACACGCCTTCTCCGTCGAGACCGGGTACCAGTGGCATGGATTCTACGACCGGAAAATCGAACAGCAAGCATTACATGGACTACCTCCGTCACCCCGGCAGCCGGCCATCGTCCGAGTACAACCGTGCATTGTCAGGAAGCTTCCTTGCCACCAAGTATAATCCAGAGGAGGAGGCTCAGGATGAATGGGATGATTTCAACGATTCCGAATGTGCAAGGTCACCGTATAGTGTTGATTAACATAACAGAGGGCGAGGTAGAGATGTGGTTGCAGACTCCTTTGGTGGTCAATCCCATCCTCTGTACACATAGATGCGATTTTGGGGGATTAGTAGAGTTTTGCTTTCTGTACACGGCCGAAGGAATGGAAATATAAAAGTGAATTGATGAAGGATGGAAATCTAGTTTTGCTCAGCCTTGTCCAGCCTCGTCACCAGCCTTGTTGCTGGCGCCAAGACTTCACTACCTCTGATTCGAAGATGAACTTTTTCCAATTCCATATTTCTCGCTCTAATACCTGCACCTCAATGTCGTTGTGTCACATTATTTTCGAGGATATATCTACTGTCAATTGAGCTTGCAGTTCAACCTTCAACTAACACTTCTTTCATAGTCACATATATCAATTTCCAGGAACTTCGATGAGGATGGCCATGGCCCAGCACGCCGAGGCGGCGACCATTCCTTCGGTCAAAGATCTTGCAAGTAGCGGTATGTTGACCCCCTTTCCGAGTGTTATATGCATCTTTTTTATTTGAACCAAGCGCTCTCAACCTCATCATCGCTGGAAGCATTGAGGAAAGAATAGGTGTGCTAGAATGGAGCTTGCTAAATCGCGGCTTCTGGCGACATAGCATAGTGGTTTCTGACTTCGTTGATCCTTGTCCGCTGACTCTCAGACGTAGAAGCATCTGTCCGACGTGCATGTCTCAATACCCTCATAACTTACCTGAATGACCAGAGCGCCTCGTCGCCATTAACGCCAACCGAGTGCCTTCAACTCTGGCGCGGCTTCTATGTTGGGCTTTACATGCATGACAGCAAGAATGCGCTCTCGGTCCAAAGACTCGTGGCCGAACTCGCTGGAACGCTCAGAATCATGGACGAAAAAGACCGCGAGTCCACCGCGGACGACTTAGACAGCCAAAGCCAATCATGGTTGGATACATGGATGGCAGCGTTTTGGGAAACTATATGCAGAGAATGGTCCTCGATTGATCAGTGGCGCATGAACAAAGTCCTCTTGCTCGTGCGTTTCATTGTGCGGGAACTGTTCAACATCGTGCTCGGCTGGGTAAGCACGGGGGAACCGGCATCACAACATCGAGTTGCGAGGCAACTCCGGATCCTGGAAATCTGGCCCCTCAGTCCCCGCGAGCGCAAGGTCCCTGATGGAATGAGGCTACATGTCCTAGACATCTGGGTTGAAGAGCTTGCCGGTCAACTGAGCCAGGCTCAAAAGGCCCTTAACGAGTCTGGGCAGAGCGGTGGCGAAGAGAAGAAAGTGGCCCTCCTGGATACTGCGAAAGCTTTCATGGCTCCTCTTGACAAGCTGAGCGAAGAAGCACTCAGTAAGGGAGTGAAGCTCAGGGCGAAGGAGGCTATCAAATTAGCCGAGGAGAAAATTCCCAGGATGAGCTAAGGTGACATTCTTTATCTTTTTCTTCGCACAAGACTCCCCTGCATACACGAAGCGCTCTTCTACGACGACCGCCTTGGATTGGATAGGGATATTGCGTCGAGATTCTGCAGTCTTCGAGTATTCTGCGTGATCAATTGGCCCACAGACAGCGCCGCCCGCCAACAACTTATCAGCTGCAGTGTTTCTTTTCCTTTTCGATCAACGGCTGCCTGCAAAATGGTGTTCCAATTATAAAGAAAAGTTCGAAAGGGGGGAGCGAAAATGACACGGTCCAGAATCTCTGGGCCTAAATCCAGAAAGCGGGACATAGCAAATGTCTCCCCGTCAAAAGGGCTCCTCCCAAGGTTGCATCAGGCCTTCAGGCGGCGACTCTGGTCCGCGAGGAGATCTATCACCTTTCTTGTCCCTGATCCGTTTTACTAGTTGATCGGCTGACGCGTCCTGCAAGCAGCCTGCGGAGGGTCACGGAGGATGGAGACCATGGGAAGCGATCGGGAACTGAGTCATTCCCATTCTCATCCCCATCATCAACTCGACAGTCGTCAAAATGAAAGGGCTCCTCGCTAGGTGGTTATACCAGGACAGACAGAATGGCAACTCTACAACAACAAACACCTTTTCAGCGTTAAGAATATCAAGACTGAAGATTCAAATATCTGGGGGCAAATTATGCTACTGAATCAACAGATAGAAAAGAAGCCCACAAACTCCACGCCTCCCAGATGATGCAAAGACAAAAAAGGAACAACTGATCCTTGCAAACAATATTCAACCAGCTCTCAGCTGGAAAAGACAGCCGGCTGCCACCAATTCCCGCTTGCCTTGCTGTCTTCCTTTTTGCCTTCCTCCTGCTCGTGATCGTCGCTCGGGTTCTTCTTGGCTCCGTCTTGGGTTGCTTCAGCGCTATCAGCCGAAGTGGTGGAATCTATCAAGTACAGAACCACAGAAATCAGTACCGAATCTCAAACATGCTCGAGGTTGAGAGGGAAAATCGGGCCGAATCAGAAATTGTAGTCGTATTACAAAGTGGAAATGCCATCAACCAGTCTCACTCATAGAATCACGGAAAAAAGACATACCAAGTCCCTTCTCACTTTCTCCTTCGTTGCCAACTCCAATCTCTGGTAACTGTGGTGCCTCCGCTGACGTTGACTCGACAACATTATCCCTCACTACCGCACGGGCCGGCTCCGTCGAATTCGCTCTTTTAGGTGACGGTACATCCTCCTCTTTCGCGTCCTGTAATGCCGTCTCCTCTTCTTGCGAGATATCGTGCTCCGAGTCTTGCTGTGCCGCGCCGTTCGTCTCGGCTGGAGGCCCTGTTGCCGCTGCTGCTGCCGCCGCCTCCTCGGCCCGTTTCCTCTCCAATTCAGCTGCTCTAGCCTGTTGCCGCTCCCAGTTCTCCTTCCTCGCCTGCTCGTCTTTCAGCTTCCTCCTACGTTCCACTTCATCCATGCCGCCTGTCTTCTTCAACTTCCCCTCTTCGACAAACTTTTCCACCTCACGTTGGAATTCGCCAACCTTTCGACTCTCCAGCTCTCGTTGACGGACTTTCTCCGCTCGCTCTATTGCTTCAAGGCGACTTTCGTGATTCGGCTGTAAAGCTCGAACTTCATCTAGCATACCACTTTTGGCTTCGTGGGGGTCAACATCCGTATCAAAGGCAAGACTCCTTGAGGGATGGCGACCACTGCTAGCGCTCTGCAAATTCTGCTGCTTTGTGGCTTCCTCCACGAGCTTAAAGACATTTGTGATGTCCTCAAGATCGCCGTCGAGATCATTCATCAACTCATCTTGCTGTGTCAGATCGTCTCTTTCCGTCATGACGACTTGCAGTTCTTGTTCCCATATCTTAGTCCAGATGGGCTTCTCATGTTTGACGAATTCTTTGACCTTCCCTAGTTGCTTGGCAGTTGCGCTGATCTCCTTGCTGATATCCTCAAGCTGTCGAGGAAGGGGTCTGACTCCTCTGGCCACAACATCTTTGCGCAGCTCTTCCACAATATCTGAAAGATCATCAACACGATTGACAAGTGCTTCAGAGTCGTCAGAGAGTTGTTTCTTGCCTTCGTTGATATGTGCGCGACCGGCGTCCCCTTTGTATGTTGCATTGGCGGCCTCTGCAGCAACAGCCTTGACGTTAGCCGCCTTAGCTTTAATGTCGCTCATGGCTGCCGTAAAGTCTGAAGACATTGTCGAATATGTTTGGCGTAACACTGCAATCTCCCGACGAAGGTTCTGGATTTCTTGCAGAGTAGACTCGGAAGATGGTGCAGTGGTGAATGTACTAGATGCCAATGTCGGTGTCCGCGCTGGATGCTGTGCAGGCATCGCAGACATCCTTGCCATCTCCTTAGACGTTTCGAGCTGTCGGTCCGAAAATCGCTGCATCATTGTACTCTGGCCTTCTAGCAATGACCGTACTCCCTCCAAAGTCTTTTGAAGACCGCTCATGCCTTCATCAATATGCTTTTTGACTTCATCCAGAGCTTCAACATTGAGCACGAGGACGCTTCGATCCTTAACATCCGAAAGGTCTTCCAGTTCATGCCTGACGCCTGAGACAGGATCTTGCACATAAATTTCAGGGAGGTCTACTCCATTATGTTGAGTGTTCCACGCAAATTTCTCAATGAAAGCAAGTTGCAACCTAGCAATAGTGAGTTCTTCGTAGCCGTCCGCGAGGACGAATTTCTTGATTTTGCTTCTATACTGCAAGAAAAGAGTCAATTCTTTGCCTTGCGGAGGTGATGAGTCTGTTGTTAGAACTTGCGATTGCGGTGGCGTAAGGTTCTCACGTGGTCTTCGCTGAACTGTCTCAGGCGTCTTGACTGGTTCTGTATCTACAGACGCTTTGTGTTCGGGAGGTGCTGGTGCGACTTGTGAGTCAAGGGATATTGTTGCCTGCAACTCTTCCGGTGGCGGACTGAGAGGGCCATTGACAGTTGCCCCCATCAGCACATTATCTCCATTACCAGAATCGGATTTCGAGACCGGCAGATACTCATCTGGGGTCTTTACGGTTGGGCTGTCGAAGTTAATGGATTCGTCTGGTCGCTTCATTGAAGGCACTTCCTGCAAAGTCAGAACTGGGGTCTCCTCTCTCTCCTCTGAAATGCGTTGCGGAGCTTTGACAGTCCCACTCCTGCTGGGCGACACATCCCCTTGACGTAGAGACTTCGCTCTTGATTGTTGGTAGGAACTCCGTGATCGAACAGCAGTCAAAGACTCGCGCACCTCCTTGCCCCTATTTGGGATAGGAGAATTTTGAGCGGCAGGAATGACCGGGACACCATTAGGAGAAGCGCCAAGATGCTTCTGAATTTGATAGGCCGAGAATCTTCTTGAGGCTCGCCTTTCCAAATCTCCGCCACGTTGTAATCTGGTGAGGGCATCTGCTTGCTTCGGCGGCGGCGGGGGAGGATGTGGGAAATTGATCTGAGGAACAGTAGGAGACTGATCAACGTCCTGATAGACTGGCAGACTAGGTGGGTTTTGAGGAGTGCTTGAAGAGATTGTCGAGCCGGAATCCGACTGAGGTAGTTGGGGAGCAACATCCCGTCGCATCGAGTGTCTATTGATAGATGATCGGTTTGGCTGTTGCGTGGCAGGAGTGTTTGCCGCAACCCAATGCTGATCAGCCGTTGCGCTGCTTTGAGGAGGCGTTTGAGCGCGCATGTTTGAAGTGGCGCTGGGTACATCTTCGAGCATGTGCGTCAAGCCAGTCTCATTGCTTCCTGTTGTAGATATGCTAGGTTGTCTTCCTGGAGTAGTAGGTGGTCTCGGTTGCGATGTCACTGAGGCGTCCTTGGTCGTCCGTCCACGTAGTCGGCTTTGCTTCCTCTTGAGGCCATGTAGAAGATTGATAATGATGTCGCGGATGCGAGGCAGATAGTTGTCAAGGGCTTGTGGGGAAGCCGGCTGGCTCAAGGTGTCCTCGAGGATATTTCGCAAGAGATCAGGGACAGGACCGAGGTCGGAAGTTTCGACACCTATTGAATTGAAGGCGCGGCAGGCCAGATTGAACTCGTATCCCAGTCGAACATAGACATCCGAAACCTCCTCTTCCTGCGCCTGCCCACGCGACCACTGCGTCAAAGTCTCGAGAAGTTGTTTCGTGGCGACGAGTAGATGGGTGACGCTCTTCTCTATTTGCGATATCTGCTTGTCGGGCTGGAGATTGCTCGAGTCAGAGCAGACACCCGTAGTTGGAAAAAGAGACACTCACATTGGCGCTTCTCTGCGAACGGCCTGAGCCAGAAGACGATCTTGTTTGAGAGGCGGAGCTCGTTATGGGATTCATGGTTGGAGGTTGGGTCTGGGAATAAATTGAATCCGGGAAGTCCTGTTGTCGACGCTGAGACTGCGAGGGCCGTTGGGCTCCTGCTACGGCTGATGACTGCATCATGTCGTTATTGGACAGGTGTTGATTTCCATACGACGGACATGGTTGTGAGGAAAGCAAGGGTGTCACTTCATTCGAAGCGATTACATGACGCAGTGGAAGAGAGAATGGCCCGCTGGGAGTAAAGGGGAAACGACGAAGGTAGTGACGGATGGAGACTGAGATGGGTGTGTTGGAGTCTTGGAGAGCGATCAGCCCTGGTTCCTTTTCCCTTTCCCTTTTGGTGCCCGAAAGCGCGATGGCAGATGCAGCTTTTGGGGGGGGAAGCAAGAGAAGCGGCCAGGAATCCACGCTGTGCCAAGCCACAAAAGCAGCGCCACACCCTCTCAAACTAGGACGAACAGGTGGAAGTTCCTCGTACTGGGTAATATTAATAGGTCCCAGTAGGTCCCTGGCAAGGCTGAGCTGAGTACGGAATATGGTGACAACGCCAAGCCCGACGAGGCTGTCAATTCCGAGCCGCAGTCGACTGCAGACTTGACTTTGAGCAGGCAATATCGACTCCACAATATCCGCCCTTCATCAAGTCGCCCCGGTGTCTTGTCGTTATTGCACAGCGGTGGACTATAGCGAACTCCCTTCTCTTTGAACATGGTTTAACCTTGGACACTCTTTGAAAATCCTGATTCTTCATCCCCGTGCCTTATACAGCGTTAAGACTGAGCACATTTTTGCCCGTTCTGGATCATCCTGCCATACCTAGTAACTAAGCCAGCCTACTCTGACGTCCAACATGGCGCAGTCCCAGCCGCAACTCAGTCACAAAGATGCGGCCTTGTTCAGGCAAGTTGTCCGCAACTTTGAGAATAAACAATACAAAAAGGGTGCGGGTCTCGTGCTCTGCTGTCCTGAAAACACCAAGCTCACTTCCACACAGGTCTCAAGGCAGCCGAACAAATCCTACGGAAAACCCCCAACCATGCAGACACGCAAGCCATGAAGGCCCTGATCCTGAGCCACCAAGGTCACACCGAAGAAGCATTTGCCCTGGCCAAAATCGCGCTCAACAACAATATGAAGTCGCATGTCTGCTGGCATGTGTACGGCTTATTGTACCGCGGCGTGAAGAACTATGAAGAGGCTATCAAGGCATACAGGTTCGCGCTGCGGTTAGAACCCGACTCCGCGCCTATACAGAGAGATTTGGCACATCTTCAGGTTCAAATGCGAGATTATGAAGGCTACATCCAGAGCCGGAAAAATATGCTGCAGCAGAAACCGGGGTTCCGGCAGAACTGGACGGCTCTAGCCATCGCCCACCACCTAGCGGGAAACTACGAGGATGCAGAGAATGTCCTCACCACCTATGAGGAGACGCTCAAGGCGAAACCGACCAGGTCAGACATTGAGCATTGGGAAGCCGTGCTCTACAAGAATTACATTATCGCAGAGTCGGGCGAGCTCGAGAAGGCCCTCGATCACCTGGAGGCCGTGGGCAAGAAGGGCCCCGATGTCCTGGCAGTGATGGAAATGAGGGCGGATTATCTGGCCAGGTTGGGCCGAAAAGCAGAAGCCGAGACAGCATACGCCGCGTTGCTCGAGCGCAACCCGGATGACTCTGCGTACTATGATGGATATATCGCTGCCAGAGGGCTAACTGATGGTCCAGTTTCGGAGATCAACAAGGCGTATCAGGAGCTGGCAGAGAGACACCCCAAAGCTGACCTTCCCCGACGGAGACCATTGGATGTTCTATCAGGGGAAGAGTTCAAACAAGCTGCAGACCAGTACCTCCAGAGGATGCTACGAAAAGGAGTTCCTTCGACCTTTGCAAATATCAAACACCTTTACACCAACGGATCGAAGAGAGACACTGTTCAGCGTTTGGTGGAGGGTTATGCCTCCGGACATCTACAATCACAGACCAACGGAGCCAAGGAAAATGGCGATAAAGAAGAAACACGCTTCAGATCTTCAGCTCTCTATTTCCTCGCCCAGCACTATAACTACAAATTAAGTCGCGACCTCGACAAAGCTCTCGATTACGCCGACAAATGCATAGCCCTAGACCCCCAATCTGTTGACTTCCACTCAGTCAAAGCTCGTACCTACAAGCACAAAGGGGAGCTGACCAAAGCTGCCGAAATCATGGACCACGCTCGCTCACTCGACGAGAAAGACCGCGCAATCAACACTAAATGCGCCAAGTACCAACTTCGCTGCGATCAAAATGACAAAGCCCTTGAGACCGCAAGTAAATTCACACAGAACCGCACAGGGGGGCCGCTGGGGGATCTCGTCGACATGCAGTGTGTCTGGTATCTCGCGGAAGACGGGCAGTCCTACTTGCGCCAACGGAAACTCGGCCTTGCGTTGAAGCGATTTCATCAGATCCTCGGTATCTTTGACCTCTGGCAAGAAGATCAATTTGATTTCCACAACTTCTCGCTTCGCAAGGGCATGATAAGGGCGTATATCGACATGCTGCGGTGGGAGGACCGACTGAGAGAGCACCCCTTCTTTTCCAAGATGGCTGTCTCCGCGGTGAAAGCGTATCTGTTGCTGTTTGACAACCCTGACTTGGTACACGGGCCAATAATGGATACGGTGAATGGTACAAACAAGACGGGAGAAATGAGCGCCGCGGACCGCAAAAAGGCACTCAAGAAGGCTAAAAGGGAACAAGAGAAAATGGAAAAGGCCGAGGCAGAGAAGAAGGCTGCGCTGAAGGCGAGCAAACCCACGCCCAAAGCTGATGAAGGGGAAACCAAGAAGGAAGATCCCGACCCTTTTGGTAAGACTCTTGTCGAGACGAAGGAGCCTTTGAAGGACGCGATGAAATTTCTGGGTCCGCTGTTGGAGTTTTGTCCTGACGTAATGGAGGCGCAGGAGGCTGGATTTGAGGTTCATCTCAGAAGAAAGAAGTATCTGCTGGCGTTGAAGTGTCTGCTGGAGTTGAAGAGCTTGGGTGCCAAGGAAAGCGAGGTTCAAGAGTTGGGAGGGAGATTGAGAAAAGCACTCGAAGAGAATGAGAAAGATGTGCCGGACAAGGTGCGCGAGATTGTCAAGGCCGAAACAGCGAAGCTGGCCCAGTGACAAACAACGGCGTTGGACGCCCAGAGACATGACGATGTGACGGGAGAAAGTTCGTTTCCGGTCTTATCCCTCAGCGATTGAAGACAACACAATCTATCTTACGGCCGTGTCGAATTCCCAAGAGACGATGAGACTTATTTTCGGAAAGGCTGCACAAAAGTTTCTTACCCCATGTCCATTGCTGATACAGATATCTCTGCGCAAAATGAATCCACGAGATTAGGGGAGCCAACTTGACATTCACATTTACCCCTTCTCTTGCCTCGCCTTCTCATTGCCTTGTCCTTGTTCTTGTTCCTGTTCTTGTCCCTGCAGTGCCTGGCGACGAACAAGGATATAGCTGGACATATGTGCAGATGATCACGGGCTGGTGCAGTACAAGAGGCAGACAACAAGAGCTCGCGCCACTGTAACTAAAGGGCGAGATGTTCCAAAAATCCTGGTTTCTCTGATCCGAACCTGAATGCAGCAGTAGTGCATATATTCGATTCACGACGTCCTCTTTGTTACTGTAGTTCACCCTCGCAAATAAAGTGGGTATATTTTATATCGTATACTGCATGCTCCTTTCTAGCTAAATATATTTGTACAATACAAAGCCACCGGCTCATAGATGCATACACGACTGCAGACGCGTGTCGCCCAACGTCAGGGCTTTGCTTCTAACAACTCAGACATACTATTCGTGCCAAAGAATAAACAACTAATAAGGATCCCACTCCAACCTCCGTTCCAAAAGATACGACTCCACGGGGAGACCTCTCCAGACCGCTGATCCGTTGACTATTTCGAAAAACTTGGGCTCAAAGCTCACCTGGGCCCAGCCATGGATGACTTTGCGCCAGTAGCACACCTCCGCCGCCGGCGTGAGATACTGCTCGCGGAACGTCTTCACGCTGTTCGCCGCAATGCGCTCCGCTTCCTTGTCGCGAGCCTGCAGCCATGCAATCTTTGGCTCCAGATCCTCGTAGCTGCGCTCGACTTCAAGATAGTTTTGTTCGGGCCCACTGGAACGCATGAGTGAGTGGTGATGCTGGATCCAGTCCATCTTGTGCGCGACCACGACCGACTTGCACGCTTGGAGATATTTCAGGCGCCCGGAGTACGAGTTACCTTCGGTATGTGCGAGGTACTTGTACTGGCAGTGCTCAGCCATGGATTTCAGGTCGTGGGTCATGGACTCCTTGTCATGCCAATTCAGAGCCTTGACATCCGCCCAGGGTTTGTCGGTGGTGACCTGAATTAGTCTCTCGCGTAGTTCTAGTCCCATAGTGGCGCCACGCCAAAGAAGTTTGCCCATTTTCTTGCCCCAACTCCATCCCTCGACTTGTTCCGTCAGGGCGGCTTTCATCTGGACTTCGCGCATTGAGCCGACCTTCGTCTCGGGCCAGGACCAGTAGCCAAAGTCTGGGATCAGCCAGATGTGTGTGTCTTCTGCACGGCGAGCATAACCCCATAAAGGAACGGAGGGTATGCGGTCGTCTGTGTTAAATGCGAATTCAATGTTGGGAAGGGGCTCGGGAGAAGTGAGAATGGCGCGGTGTAGGGCATGCAGGGTGGCGATCTCGCGGGAGTATATGCCTCCTGCAGTCGCAATAACGTAGAGCTATACCAGCGGAAGCAGTCAGCAACAGAAATACTGCGGCAGTTGAGAGGGTGCCATTGAGACGTTCCCCAAAGTGGTGGTTGCATACCTGTTGGTTGTAGATCATGGCGCGGACATAACCATTCTGCTTTGGCATGGCATCGATCTCTTCAGAAGTGATGGGATTACGCATCCTCTCCTTCACCGGTCGATTGACTTCGTCGAACAGGCCTGGAAAGGCCTGCTCACATTGCTGCGAGTCCAGCATCAAGTTTTCTGCGTCCCTCTGGTAGTTCCATGTCCCGTCGAACCCCCTCTTCCGGCCATAGGCACCGTAGTCGCTGTGTATTAACGAGACCGAAGATCCATGGACTGATCTATACCATGCGAAGAAGGCGAAGGCGCAAAAGACGGAGAGCAGCAGGAGGGGGGTGCGGCGGCTGAATGTTGCCAAAAAGGGTTCGATGGCATGGTCGTACAAGCTCCTCCTGGAAAAGTGCATTTGAATCATCGGAGCCAGTATAGAAGACTGCCGTCTCTCATGTTTAGGAGAGACGGCGCATGGGATGCAGAACCAGACGACCTGGTCAGCATCAGCATACGGCAACAGCAACTGTATTACCTTGTATGTACTAAGTACCGCGTGCCAGAGCGACCCAATCCGCAGCTGCGATGCTGCTAACCGGGAGCTAAAGCAGCCCACGCAGATCCGGGGTCCCACGCGAAGTTTGTCTTCATTCCCCCTTGCACCCATCAGGCTACCCTTCCTGCAACATCGCCGTAGGTACGAGGTACTCACTGTCGACATGAGCCATACGAGGATCTAGCTCCCATATAGAGATGCCGGCACCATACGAAGACGATCAAGCAGTTCCACTGCGATGGACATCCTCCAGCTGAGGCTCACTAGGCCTCGGCCCATCATGCCAATGCGGTCTGCTCCCGAGTCAATCTATATTTGGTTCCTTGTCCTCTGTTGAGCATAACCTGTCCACTCGGTCAGCTCCATCCTGCATACCAGGGGATGCCGTGTTGAGGTCAAGGGTGAGGTCGCCATTTCCCCGCTTGTCCATCCTGGTGACTGTAACCTTATTTGCATACATCTGGACTCCTACCTCTATGCATTGAATATACGGAGGATGATGCCATGATACGGTGAGTCTTCAGAAGGGACCAAGAGGCACAGAAGTGCGATCATATCAGAGCGCTTGCAGGAGAGTGCTGCAATGCGAGACGATCGAGCGGCCGCCCTGAAATGAATGCTACAAGAGCCGCAGAGGCCTTTGGTTTGTGATCCGGCCTCCGCGTTACTGTTGCTTTAGGTGGCTCGTTCGGGTGTTATTTGCTTGTCACTCAGGGCACCCGTGGAATTAACCAAGTGGTTCAGAAGAGCGTCAGACCAAGGCCCTGTTCTCTTCTTCGCTCGGCTCAGCCTTGTCCACTAAACACCTTGGAAAGATACGGAGCGCTTATAGTGGGCATTGATTCGGCACCCGCAGTTTCTTCTGATTGGCAATGGGGGGACACGGATCTTCAATGGATATACGTACCTACAGCACAGCCAGGCTACACTGCGTGGTTGATGACGACGATGCGCATCTCCATCATTCGTACATAACACATTCAAACGTCCAGCCAACCGGCTGCTTCAAAACGGCTTGAATAAGGGGTTTCGTCATAGATGAGGCGGCGGCGCACATGCACATGCATGCCTTCTCATCAGGGTATTTACTCCCTCTGCTTCCCTTGCGCTTCCTTCTTCTCGTGTGTTTTACGTCCTTGTTTGACATTTGCTCACCTTTTCTGGTCTTGTCTCACGGGATCTTTGGTTTTATTATACCTCTGCCAGATTTAGACTCATCGACCTTGTTGTGCTGGACTAGTCTGTGGATCCAAAGTAAACATGGATCCCCCACCTACCCGGATGTTTGAGCCCGACCAATGTGACGAGCTCGCTAAGCCATCCATTCCCCAATTTGTTGTTTCCTGGTATGCTTTGTCTGTCTGCTGGTCGGCAAGGACAAAAGGTTAAAGCATTTACTAACGGAATTTTTCCCCAGCTCCTTGATGGGCTGGCTGCTCATCTGCTACATTCCACAATGGAGCCGTATCATCTCGCGCAGATCCGCAGAGGGCTTGTCGACATACTATATCCTTCTCGGCTCTCTATCAGGCGTGTGTGCCGTGGGCAACATCATGATACTCCCTTCTAGCGCAGTTGACATCGGTTGCTGCAGGACCAACACGCGCTTCGCCTGCATCAGCGCCCTTCTCGGAATGATCCAGGTCATCTTTGGCATTGCATGCTTCTGGATCGTGTAGGTTGTCTGCACCTGCAAAGCAATTCTTGATCGCCTACTCTATTGGGGGGATCATGCTGAAGACTCCTCTAGCCTTTTCACGTACGTCTACTACTCGGAGGAAGAGGCCGATGCAGAATTGCACGGGCGTCGACCATCATTATCGGGACCCGACCGTACATTCCGGCGAGCAAAGCGGGCATGGAGAGTCCTCATCGTCGCATGCAGCTTCGCATTTACTGTCCTCTTGGTGTCAGCCATTATCTTGCACCGCTTCCCTTGGTATGCGCAGGCGTGGGCAGATATTCTCGGCGTCGCTGTGGCAGTCTTTGCATGCATCCAGTGGATTCCCCAGGTCCGGACGACATGGCACCTGGGACATCTTGGAAGTCTGAGTCCAGTGTCTCTCTGTTTAATGGCTCCTGTAGGTCTCTCCTCCCGCCGTTGCTTGTTGTGTTGCGCCTGGGGGACTGACAGCTCGACACCCCCGGCCAGTACACTTGGATATTTGGAATCAATATGATGCTCCGAGTCGGCGTGACAGGCTGGAGCGTGTGGATCGTTTACGTGCTTGTAGGGACAATGCAGATCATCTTGATCGTCATGGCCATCTGTTTCACGGTTAGGGACCGGAGGCTGGCCAAATTGGGAAAACAACATTGTGCTACTCCGGCACATTTCGAAGGCTGGAATACTTGGACTCGCTCTCGCACCTCATCGATCGTCTCATACCACCTAGCGCCGGATGAGCGGAGCCCGCTACTTCACGAGCAGCCCTCAACAAGGCGGCAAACCATTCCCTAGAATGCTGGAGCCATTGCGATCTTGACTTTGAACGACAGAAGTTCGATCATATCGCCCGACTTCCAAGTTTTAGCGACCACGACGACTCACCGACGGGAGACTGAACAGCTGCTTGTCTAGACCCGAGAAATAACAGTCGTCTCTCGTCTGATTTTGGTTAAAATTAATCCCGGCAGGACTGTAGTATGTTATATTTGGCACAATAATTTCACACGATCCTTTAGTGTAATAGATGTCAATGTCGGCGACAAGGCTCACTGTATGGTTCGTTGACATTCTCCGCATTTGATCGATTGCCGTGGCGAGGAGCCATCTTTTGCACTCTCTGTCCTTCGTCTCTTGCGGATCAGCTTCGTCATGAGATCCATAATAGCAAGACTGAAGCGGACTCGGGCGGCTTGACTACTGACGCTTACTAGTCCTAAACATCGTGTTGGACTGGCTGGGGTTTGTGCACGAAGAACTCTTGATTCCGTCCCCTTTCCTCCTGGGCCGGGATTTTATCATCATCGTCAAGGGCTCTCTGACTGAATCTAACCGCGGACGAGTACCTTCGAAACACTTGTTGTCGGCGGCAAGAGGGGCTCAAAGGCAGTCGCTTATCCCGCTGAATGATCTCTCTTCCCTCTGAGCCTGTTGCGCTGCCTGTTCACGCTTGACAGTAGATGTCTCATTTCCAGAACCTGCTTGTGTTGAGGATCCTGCAGGCGTTCTCGCCCCTTTATCACTTCTTTGGCTAGGGAGGCTGCCAGATATAACTTCCCCTCTCGCTTGGAAATGTAAGCAACTTCAGCCATGCAGCCGAGGGTCTGGGGATGCAATTCCCCCATTGATCGGCGACAGCGCTTCAGCACTTCTTTGCTGAGTGCGTCTGCTTCCCCCCTTCGGTTGGACTTCCGGTACGTCGAAGCTATGCTAGACATAGTAGTCAGAGTCGAATGGTCGTTCGGGCCAAGTATCCGTTCTTTGATCCTGAGAGTGTCTTTGTCCCACTTCTCTGCGAGGGCATATTTGCCTAAACTGCGATACGTAGCAGCAAGGTTTCCCATGGCCGTCAAAGTATGGGGATCTTCTTCCCCCAGGATGCTGATTCGCAGTGCAAGGACTTCCTTTTCAATGCGTTCGGCATCCTCCCACCGCTTTTGCTGTCGCCATGTTGAGCCCAAATTGGCCATGCTCCGGATGGTGTCGGGATGATGCGCACCAAGGACCCGTTTTCTCTTATTCAACACATCCAGGGCAAGTTCCTCAGCGAGTGCAAGGCTGCCTAAATAGCGAGATGTTGAAGCGAGGCGCGCCAGGGATGAGAGAAAGACTGGATCATCCTCTCCCAAAGCCGATCTCTGGCCTTCCACTACACATTGAAGAAGTTCCTCTGCCTTTTCTGGTGAGCCCATGCTTTTGTAGGACGCCGCTAAGTTAGCCATACTGCTCAACGTGTCCGGATGATTGGCGCCAAGGACCGTCCTTCTCGCCTCCATGACTGCCTTATCAAATTCCAGGGCCTCTTTCCACCGATGTTGTCTTCGTTTCACCGAAGCGATGTTGGAAAAGGCAGTGAGTACAGTGGGATGACTTGGAGGCAATGTTGCAGTGTAACCGCGGAGGGCTTTCTGGCTATAGTCCAGTGATTTTTCCAGTTGACTGCAGCGTTCCAGGGCGATTGATAACTCTGTGTAAGCTTGAAGAAGGTTGTGGTGAAAAGGCTCTAGTGTCTTCTCCCTATGCTCCACAACGAGTTTGAAATTTATAGCTGCGTCACGATATTTGCCCTCAAGAAAAAGGCACTGTCCCACCAAGAAGGTGAGCTCAAAGCAATTTTCCATGTCAGCAATGTGAGCTGAGTGTAGAAGTCGAGACGCATGTGGAAGGTACAAAGACCAGGCGGATCTGTTGGTGTGGTCGGGTTTGGGAAAGGTCTCCAGCATGCGATTGAGCGCCCTAGGCGCCCATGTTTTTATAGCCGACTTTTCTTGCAGCCAGCTGCGACATGCCAGGTGGACGAGGTTATGCATATCGTAGGTTGTACCGCTACCGGAATCTGAATGCCTTCGCGTCAAGAAAGAGTAACCAGTTAGGAGCCCTATAGCGTCTATCGTGTGCTTCCGTGAGGCACCTTCCGGTAAAAGCCGCTCGGGAATGTTCTTGGAATCAATGCATGCAATCATTGTCAGGCATTCCTGGGCCAAGGGGCTTCGGCGCGCAATGTTTTCAAAAGTGATTCTCCAGGTTGAAATTATGGAGTTTTTGGCGCCCGGAGCCCGCACTTCGTCCTGGAAATCTTCATCCAAAAGTTCAAACACAGTTTCTTCTTTGTCATCTAACAAACTCACATAGTCTGAAACGTCAATTCTGTTGAGGTTGATATATGCGGTAGCTTGCACAATCGCTAAAGGAAGACAATTAAGACGTTCCACAAGTGAGCAGGCGAGAGCTCTGTCCAGACCAGAGGGGAGAGGCTCGAGCAAGGTTTCCAGTAGCGTGAGAGCACCCTCCTTATCCAGGCACGGGATTTCAATAGTGTGGTTGCGACTGAAATTGAGAGCCACTTTTCTGTCGCGAGTGGTGATGAGAGTACAGCCATAAGAGCTTCGCGGAACAAAAGCGTTGAGTGCCTTGGAACGGGAGGTGCCCTCATCACCAAAGAACAACCCAAAGTCATCCACATTGTCGATGATTAGAAGCCACCGACCAAAGCTCTCTTGACTTAGACACTGCCTTACCAATTGTTTCAGATCGCTTTGCAGCTCTGCCATGGAAGAGATCTGTAGTTGACGGCCGATTTCCACGTAGCCATTGTCAAAATTCATTGCGTCCGAAGCCTGGACCCAAAAGATGGAAACATCGGGCGAACTTTCCCGGAGAGAATACGCAAACTCTAGGGCGAGATTGCTTTTGCCAACACCGCCCAGTCCAAGCAAAGATATGGACGAGCAATCGGGGTTGGTGTACATGGCCTCCAGGGCGGCAAGCTCATTGGTTCTCCCCGCAAAACCGATCTTGCGTCGCAGCGGCACACACCAAATTGTGGATTGATAGGCAATACCCTCAGAGGATGGAGCTTCAGATTGGTGGGAGCCTGTCATTGGATCAGGCGAGCCGATGAAGGAGCACGGATCATAGCCTTGACCCTGGTATTCCGTTGCTTGTGCCGTCAAAAACTTCTCGAGGAAAGCTCTTGCACAGCATGCGGCGGTGGCAGAGGCATAGTGGTGCCAAACGTCGTTCTTGTGGCTATCAGCGTAGTCGGCAACGCCCTTTATGACGAGATAGGGAAAATAATCAATCAATCCTGCGCCCTCCATCTCGAAAGCAATGATGCCTTCCTTTTCTGCAATGGCATCACGGTGAGTGCCTGACTTCATGACCCGGTCTCCTGATCCCATGGTTCCAACATGGATGGAGGGCATTCTTCTGCCATCAGACGACAGGATTGGAACAGGACGAGGCACCAAGCGCTCGTCTTCGCAACCAAGTCTGGGACACGATAAGCTATGCGCTGCTGAACAAACCCTACCAGCCCCACTGTTGCAAATGTTGCAAGTATTATTCCAATGTTTGTGCAGGTAAGCCGGCTCAAAAAGCCGATCGAATTCTATGCCAGGATATGCCACCTTTGGACGACGAGTCTGAAGATCACTCAGTAGATCGTAGAGCCTCTTCTGGAGAAGTTCTCGGTGATACTCGGTTTCCAATTGGTTCAATGCAGTCCGAAGTTCCAGCGAGGCGCTGGTAGTTGAGGGCTTCCGTTCGAATGCATCTGGATATTGCTTACCAGAGTCATACTGAACAATCGACTGACTCATCACCACATCACCCAGGCGAACGTCTTCGGAACCGTCAGGGCCGCCAGGGACACCTCCACAGATACCAACCAGCAAAGCAAGCTGAATGTTGCGAAAGCTGCTACTGAGGTTCGCCGCCACGCCCGCTGCATTGACTTTTCCAGCGCCAGGCATGTGGGCCACCACAACAGGGTGTTCCCCAACGAAGCGGATGGTGTATGCAATCCTATCGCGGGCGGTCTTAGTGAATTGTCTCTTATCATCCCCAGGTTTGTCAAAGACAGCGAAAACCTCATCCGCCTCCTTCGGCAGAGCACATATTATGGCAATCTTGACATCTTGACGGTCGTCGAATGTAGGCAGATACTGCCACAATCTGTCTGGAGTGTTGAACGAAGGCGTTCGGGAGTGGAAGCATTGTTGTGCGAGTGGCCATTGGCCTGTTTCGGAGGTCCGTGAGCTGGAGGTTCGACTGCTGCTGGTGGGGTTTCCGTCAGTAACGAGACCTGGAGAAGCCGAAAAGCTTCTGCGCGGGCAAATGCACCTTGTACTAGACGCCTGGCTGAAATTAGTCCCATAGCTGTTCCCGTTATTATGGCGGCTGTTGGACGGGCCTGGCCGGTTCTCGCAGCTCCCGTGTCCGTGGAAATGGGCAACTCGCGGAAGCATGGCGCGAGGACAACATTGCCACAAATCTCCTGCTTAGTCGCTGGTCGAGCTCTGTAATGTTGTGAAATAGTCTGCGCCTCTGTCATGAATGGTAGGAAATTGGGGAAGATGCGAGAAAGCAGAGGCGGAATGTCTGCATAGAACGGAGCATATGCACAATACAGCGCGAGGCTGAGGCCGGTGCACCTTAGGCTGGTGAGGCTGAGCACCAGGCTGAGCTCCCGACATATTAATGTCATCAACCAATCAGGCTTGAAGCTTACCCTGAAGTTCCAGTCGGCAACCAGCAACGCTCCTTGCTGTCCAATGCCATGGGTGCCTTGGGTGCCTTGGGTGCCATCGGATCTGTACTCTATGCTCACATTTTGCATCAAATTTATCCCGCGGGAAATGGACAGGAATAGGTTACATATGTCTCCAGGCAATACTCAACAGAGGAGTCCCTCGTTCTTTGATCTCACGGCATCGGTATCAACTCCGCGGATTTTCTGCAACCGGTCAAATAATTTTGGGAAATCAATTAATTCCATCTCCTCAATACCCTCG